TGTGTATATATATATATATATATATATATATATATACACACACATATACATATATTATTTCTCTCTTTCAAATGGTAGTATGCCTTACACATTTTCTGTGCCATTTGTTTCTTAGCTTTATATTTCAGAGATTATTTATTGTTAGGATTAGAATGTATTGCTCTGCCTTATTCTTTTTCAGTGCTGCATAGTGTTCTACCATGTTGCTAAACCATAATTGATTTAATCTGACCCTATTTAATGAACATTTAGTTGGTTTCTAGTATTTTTTTAAACTATAAATAATGGTGCATCATATGTTTTTGTGTTTTTGTGAAAGTATATCCATGAAATACATTCCTAGCAGTGGTATTGCTGAAGCCAAATTAAAATTTTTTTTTTTTTTGAGTTGGAGTCTCACTGTCGCCCAGACTGGAGTGCAGTGGCTACTCCCGGCCATCCTAGCCTCGACATGCTGGGGCTCCAGCGATCCTTCTGCCTCAGCCTTCCAAGTAACTGGAACTACAGGCGCGCGCTACCACGCCTGGCTAATTTTTTGATTTATTGTAGAGATGAGGTCTCGCCTGCCCAGGCGGGTCTCGAACCCACGGGCTCAGGCAATCCACTCATCTCAGCCTCCCAAAGGCGCGGGATTACAGGCTGAGCCACCAAGCCCGGCCAAATTAAAAATTTTGATAGACACGATTAAATTGTTCTCCTGATAGACACGATTAAATTGTTCTCCAGAGAAGTATTATGTGGTAGGCAAAATAATGGATCCCAAAGATGGCTACATCCTAATTCCTGAAACTTGTGCATATGTTGCCTTACATGATAAAGGGGAAATTAAGGTTACAGATGGAATTGATGTTGCTAATCAGCTGATCTTAAAATAGGAAAATTGTCCTGGATTATCTGGGTGGTCCCAATGCAATCACAAAGGTACTTAAAAGTAGACTGGAGTGATGGCAGCAAGAGAGGGACATGACCGTATGTTGCTGAATTGAAGACAAAGGAAGGGAGCTTTGAGCTAAGGAATACAGGCAGCCTCTGGAAAAGCAAGGAAACAGAAAAGGCAAGAAATGCCGCCCTCTGGCACCTTAATTTTAGTCTTGAGATCTGTGCTGGATGTTTGAGCCACAAAACTATAAAATAATAAATTTATCTTGCTTTTTTTTTTTTTTTTTTGAGTTGGAGTCTCACTCTGTCGCCCAGACTGGAGTGCAGTGGCATGCTCCCGGTCACCGCAGCCTCAACCTCCTGGGCTCCAGCGATCCTTCCACCTCAGCCTTCCAACTAGCTGGAACTACAGGGGACTACTACCACGCCCGGCTAATTCTTTTGATTTATTGTAGAGATGAGGTCTCACCAAGTTGCCCAGGCGGGTCTTGAACCCGCGGGCTCAGGCAATTCACTCACCTCGGCCTCCCAAAGCATGGGATTACAGGCTGAGCCACCGAGCCTGGTTTATCTTGCTTTAAGTTCCTACATTTGTGAGAATTTGTTAAGTAGCTAGAGAAAACTAATAATACATTATACGTATTTATACTCCCACCAACAATTAGTGCCTTCTTTTTAAAAATGGTTTCTACCCTTCATATTAATACTCTTTCAGTTATTTAAAAAGAAATGTTTATAATTTAGTTAAAAGAAAAATACCCGCCATAACTATCTGACTGTCATATCCTTGTTCTTTGCTAATTCACACTTTGGGAAATTCCCATTTGGTGCATGCTTTATTTGGGGTCAGGATGTGCACAGAATGTGCTGATGTGTACTTTTTGCAATGCTTATGTCACTGCTGGCCAAGCTGTACTGCAGAAACATTCTGGAAATAAAAGTTGTTCATTGGAATCTGTGCTGTCACCAAGAGGTACCCATCCAAGTGATAAAGCCATTATCTTGAAGTGGTAACAGTCCAGTCCTTAAGGGGCTTTGCTTGGCCTCCTGCAGAGGTGGACAGCCTCAATGATTACTTTGCAAGATGGGTGAGAGGCTTTGTGTATATAGCAACCACCACATCTCCATGGCAGCTGGCAGTCTGAAGTCACCATGGTGGGGACAATTGAGAGAATGTGAATATTCCTTATCAACTCATTTACTATTCCTATGGCAGACTAGCAGAAGCAGCTGTGCCTGTTCCTTTGTCATTCTGCATATTCAATTTGCCCTGATATGGTGAGACCTGTGCACATTAATCCCTACAGACTAGCTTGAGCATCTCTGCATTGACCATCTATTCAAAAATATTTATTGAGTATGTGCTATGATCGCTATTTAGGATATAAACATTTAGCCAAGCAGAGTTTACAGATTATGCAAATAGTAATCAAGAATCATAAATGTTATTGGAAGAAATATAAAACTGCTATTGTGGAAGTTGCTATAAAGAGGAGGTGCATATATTTATAACAGTGAGATTCCACTTTGTCAGGGGGAGTAGAAAGGAGGTCTGGATGGGACATGTAGGTCTATATACATGTGTTAATTAATATCTACACTGGATGACACTCTAGGTAAAGGATGTAGAGTGAGGAGAGGAAAGGACCTGGAAAAGTTGCTTAGTCAGAGGAAAAAGTGGCCAGAAAGTTGGAGGGAAGCCAGAAGAGAACTGTGCCTTAGAAGCCAAGCAAGGAAAGACCAGTTATATCAAGAGTTAAGAAGAGCATAGAATGGAACATTGTGTCTCTAAGAATTCAAATGTGGCTGCTCCCCTTATTAGCTTTGGCTTTTAGCAAAAGGCTCTCTGGCTTCAGATTCTGCATCTGTAAAACAGGGATAATATCTCCCTCAAAGAGCTATTGTGAGAATGAAATGAATTAGCATATGCAATGTGCCTAAGCACTTTGTAGATCCTCAGTGAAGATTGATTCCTCCCTCCATTACGCTTATTTATTAATCTGTTTCTGTTGTCACTATCCTTGATATCCTATGAGGATCATCACAGGTCCTGTCCCACATCACTCTGGGTACCAGCAAGTTGTGAAGTAACAGATCAGTGATCTGGACACTATAGGGAGCCAGGAGCCCACCTATGTATCTCTTTTTTTATAGAGAGACAGAGTCCTAGGAAATGGATGCAGACACAGCATACTCTCTATCATACTGAGTATTTCCCTTCCAGAGAAAGGAACTCCAGTTATCAAAATGCTAGAAGAAGCAATCCCTGTTCCCTTACTTCATTTTTGTCTATCAAATACAGTGATTGGGGAAAAAATGCGATTTCCCATATGGTTAAGAACTCTTGTAACTTTGGCTTTGGCAAATACCATAACTGCTCATTGGGAGAGAATATGATTGAATACTTGTCCTAGATAAACTAAGCCCCAGAAAAAGCTGGACAACGCCATGAATAGAGAGACTGATATCCAAAGATTTTTATTGTTGCTGGCAAGGGAAACCTTTTTTTTTTTTTTTTTGAGTCAGGGTCTTGCTCTGTCACCCAGGCTGGAGTGCAGTGGCACAATCACGGCTCACTGCAGCCTAGGTCTCCTGGGCCCAGGCAATCCTTCTGCCTCTGCCTCTCAAGAAGCTGGGATGACAGGCGTGGTCAACCACACCTGACTAATTTTTTGGGTTTTTTTGTAGAGAGGAGGTCTCACTCTATTGCCTAGGCTGGTCTCCAGCTCCTGGCCTCCCAAAACGCAGGATTTCAGGCATGAGCTGCTCTCCACCGCCTAGCTTTCAAACCTGTTAAAGAATTATCCTTGTATTTGTTATTGATGGTGGCTGTATTTTCCAAACCAAAATGAGCACATAACGTTTCATAAGCAAGAGAATACCATTAGGGACAAGCAACTATATTACACTGGAATTGTTATAGAAATTCCAAGACTTGGGGGTCATGTAGCTACTAAAAATGAGGAGTACCTAAATTATACCAGAGCCATGATCTCATGCCACTTATAGAATGGAAACTAAACTTTTTTATTTTTTATTTTTTTGAGTTGGAATCTCACTATCACCCAGACTGTAGTGCAGTGGCCGCTTCCGGCCACCGCAGCCTCGACCTGCTGGGCTCTGGCAATCCTTCCGCAGCAGCCTTCCAAGTAGCTGGAACTACAAGGCGCACGCTACCACGCCCGGCTAATTTTTAAAAATTTATTGTAGAGATGAGGTCTCGCCTGCCCAGGCGGGTCTCGAACCCGCGGGCTCAGGCAATCCACTCACCTCAGCCTCCCCAAGGCGCAGGATTACAGGCTGAGCCACCGAGCCCGGCTTCAACTTTTTGAACATTAAAAAAAAGTGCTTGGCGATAAAGAGAGGTGATGGAAAGAAAACTAGGACTCTTAGCATTTCTAGATCCGGCTACCAGGCCAGACAGGGCCAGTCTCTGGCTAGGGACGCGCCAGGGTAGCGGACGCGGACTGCGCGTTCCGGGTTCACAGCATGGAAGGTGGCGCGTTTGAGTGGCCATGGCAACGCGACGCCTCCGCCTTCTGGAAGCCTACTCTGCAGCTCGGGTAAACAGAGACCAGTCCCGGTGGGAGGGACCCCGGCTGGGGGGCGGGGGCGCGGAAGGAGGATCGAGGGGGTAGGGGCCCTGGGGAAGTTTCTGGGATCATTTGCTCTAGGACTTGAACTACACTAAAAAAAACTGGTCCAAAGCTCGGCGCAAAAGGATCTTTTCATCCCAGCCCTTTCGCCCACGCAGGGAACTATGCCTCTGGAGGTGGTGGTGGAGCTGCAGATCCGGGCGGTAAGAGGTCGACCAACGAACACACCCCCACCCCCAACCCAAGTCAGACTCTTAAGTGGTCTCAGGTCACCGATCCTCCTCCCTCCCCCAAACATACCATATGCGTCATTATCTTTGGGGACAAATCTTATCTTTGCCCCTACGATTCTCTACATTGGTCTTCTCGGACTCCCTGACCTTTACTTCAGCTCAACGTATTCCAATTATTATTTTCTTCTAAAGCCAATTTGTCTTAGCTTTTTCCTGAAATTTTCTGTTCTTTTGAAACAACCCTGCATTAAGTCCAAGTAGGATTTCATTTTCTTTTCCAGGATAAAGATTTGTGAAAGGATTTTAAAACTTCCCCTTTAAATAACCAGGGAAGAATTTTTTTTTTTTTTTTAGTTGGAGTCTCACTCTGTCGCCCAGACTGGAGTGCAATGGGGCTCCCGGCCACCGCAGCCTCGACCTGCTGGGCTCCGGTGATCCTTCCGCCTCAGCCTTCCCAGTAGTTGGAACTACAGGCGTGCGCTACCACCCCGGCTAGTTTTTTGATTTGTTGTAGAGATGAGGTCTCGCCAAGTTGCCCAGGCGGGTCTCGAACCCGCGGGCTCAGGCAGTCCACTCACCTCAGCCTCCCAAGGCGCGGGATTACAGGCTGAGCCACCGATCCCGGCCCCCCGGAAGAATTTAATTTTTAAAAAGCTCATCACTTTCTGATAATTTGCCACCTGTGACCCAATCAAATATTTTCAAAGCTATTTCCCTTAGCCATGGCTCTGGCTTGCCTAATTTCAAAGGGAAATCAGTCAACAAATGTTTTGTAATTATCCACTAAATCATTCCTAAATGAGGTGCTGTGGCAGTGACGCCATTGTTCCTACTTGGAGGTCAGTCATTTCTCGTTTTAGTTTCCATTTTCCACTCCTTCCATCTGTAGTTAGTGAGAGACCGTCATGCAGCTTTGCCCCCAAGCTACTGGAAGCTTCTCTACTGGCCACAGTTACAAGCACAGTGCTAACAGGATACTGTCATGGAATCTGGTTAGCTTCCAGATTGGCAAATGCTGTGGTTTCATCATACATGCAGCTAAGAAACAAAAGTGATCAAAATTTCCTGGATTTGTCCCACTTTGCTGACAGCAAATAGGGCCAGATCATATCAATCATGCTATATCAGTTTCAAGGCCTTAAAATCATGCTGGAAGATGAAAAGAACCCTTGAGAAGCTAAGTGATAAATCAGTAAATCAGTCTCCCTCCTCATTAAGGAAAAAAAACAAGTTTTCATCTCACTTGATTCCACATATTGTTTAATTTTATTTTGATTTTTAAAAGGCATTCCTCAGTGTACAATTAATTAACAAAGAAGTCAGTTTCCTACTCTACAGTACTTATGATGCTCCAAAAACATCAGATGAATTGATCTGTGTTTTAAAAGTCAGCAAACTCAGGCCCCAGTAACTAAAACAGGGAATTCTAAATTATAATTACGAACCAGAAGGCAAGCCTAATTTCAAGCCCCCAATATTCAGATTTGTGGACACTGCAAGAGGAAATATCATTGCTTTCAAATATCTGGCCTGAACATTGCTGCAATTAAAATAAAGGATCTCTCTAAGGTTAAACAACAAACCCAAACCACTTAGAGCTTCACAGTTAAGCTGATTTAGCAAGTGAAGAGGTAGTTGGTGTTCAGGGTGTTGTGGGAATGCAAATGATTTGATTCTGAAAGGGTAGCTTCCTTTTTCAGTTTCACTCTCAGCAAATTCATGCTTCTACCCAATCAGAACCTACTTATTACAGTCATTCTCTTGGTTCCTATCTGAACTTTTGTATGTCAGATCAAAGTCCATAATTTTATTTACAAGTGCAAAAACAGTCAAGATTATCGAAGGACACCACTTCCATAGGTAATTTAAAGGTTTTCTTTCCCTGTAAAGCAACACTTAAAGCACGTACCCTCTTCGGTCTTTCTGGGTCAAAGAACAATGAGCAGAATTCACTGTGCATTTAGTGGTCTTTGGTCTTATGATACGGGGGGGGCACCGTGGATGTACAGCTTTAAATGTAAATAAAGATAAATGTAAACAGAAATTTAGAAGTTATACTTTGTGCCTGGTATAGCAGCAGGTTCCCTTGATGAATTTCAAGTTAAATACTGTTATCTAAAGGGTGCTATATACAGAAAACGGAATTCCATATGAACAACTGTAGTATACAGGGTCATCCTTGTAGATATGAGAAAGTATACGGTCTTGCATTGAAAAGAAGCACATTACTTTCCCATTTTATTACCCCAGTAGAGTAAGGAACGTTATTCTGTATTCAGTAGAGATGACTGGCAGCAGGGCCTCATCTCCTGCCATACTGGTTATCGGCAGAATATGTAGTCGGCCTACCCCTAGACTCTTAGCTCCCCTGACTTTCTCCAGCAACTTGGCATCTCTGCCCTTTGTCATGCCATGTTATTAGTTGTCAACAGAATTAAGCATGAGGCTATAGTCCCCTTCTTCCTTTTTTTATGGGCACCTTTGATATGCCACCTTTTAAGTGTTTGCTCTTTAAGTTCTTGGCTTGTTCTCTGAATGCTGAAAGACAGTATTAGGAAGTGGTGGGAAAAAAATATCGATTTAAAGATCTTTTGAGAGGTTGAGGGAGACAAAAGACAAGTACTACAATCTCTTTTCTTACTCCCAATCCACAAAAATAAGAGGGATAAGTAAAAAAGCTTACCAAGAAATCAAGATTTAGAAGAAATCTCCCCAACTGTGGCAACATCTTCAAGTAATAAACTAGAAAAACCTACGTCTTAAACTTTTAAAATACTGTTTCAGATCTACCTCAGGAATAAAACTAGGATTAGTACATGGTTTATCTGCATGTATATTTACAGAATGAAGATCATGTATTTTTCTCAAAGTTCGCTTTATAAGGGTGTTGACTTAGGGATTACTACAAACATAAATCTTACTGATGTCAACTTTTAAAAAACAGCAATAGTAAAACTATCCCAGTTTGCTTTCTTTGCAGTTGTCCTGGAGACATAAACAGTTACTGAATAAATATACAATAGAGGGATTTTTTTTTCTTTCCCTAGTATGGCTGTGTTCAGTGATGGCCAGCATGTACTCCAGCCTAGCAACATATCAGTATGGTGGGACACCTGAAATCCCAAAGGAAACCTGAAATGTCTAAGAGGGGCAAGCAGGATGGCTGCTGGTTTAGGCTGGCATCATCAAATGTGGAAACCTTCAGACTTCTTGGTGCCAAAATCAATGAGATGGTGTCATTGTTGATTCCACAGTACAAAGAGGATTGGAGCATTGTGGGGTGAGAGCCAGCAATAGTCCACGATGCTGTACTGCATGTAGCCCAGAAAGAAGCCAAAAGCCACATCGGTGACATTATGCCGCCCCAGCATGACCCTAGAGAGACCCAAGACGAAGGCCCACAGCACCACCAGTACCCTCAGTGGAATGGCCAGCACCAGGTGGTTCAGTATGAACCTCGACACCAGGGCAGCCCTTGTGGCATGACCCGAAGGGAAGGAGTACTTGTCCACCGAGAGAGTGACAAACATGTCCATCTGATTGTGGGCCGGGCGGCGCCTGCGGACCAGCCCTTTGATCAGGGCCACCAGCAGCAGGTCCAACAGTAGGGCGAAGAGCAGGTTCATTAGCACCTCGCGCCCGGCCCAGCTATCGCTCCTGGACAGGCAATAGAAAGTGCCCAGCAGCCAAGGGATGCCGTGTCCCGAGATCTCCAGCAGCTTCATCAGGGGCCGCACGCTGCCCCAGGACGAGCTCTCCCCCGCGCACACCCCCAGCTTCTTGGACAGCCACAGGTCGATGGCCAGCAGGGAGCGCAGGGCGATACCCAGGAAGGACGGGTTCAGGTCCATGCGGTCCTCCTCGGGCAGCGAGGTCGGAGGTGCTTGCGAGGGTCCCGCTGCAGCCAGAGGGAAGGAGCCGCGGCGGTGCACGGGGCTCTCGGACGCGCGGAGCCTGGCGCAGGTGGGGTCCACGACCGGAGCGCGGCTGCTGAGCAGGGACTGGAACTCGAACCTGCCGCCGGCGCCGCCGTGGGCCGGACTGCTGGGGCTGCTGCTGCTGCTGCTGGAGGCGGAGGCGCCCAGCGACCGACCCTCGACGCTCCTCCGGGGGCTCGGCATCGCGGCGGCGGCCCCGGCCCGGGACCCGGCTGGACCAAGGAGAGGCTTCCAGGCCCTGCCGCTTCTTCCGCTTCCGCACTGCCATCCTGGAGGGGCGGGGACAGGAGCCGGCGAGAGCGCGATTGTGACACCTGGCGGAGATGTGGGGGGACATTGGAATTAAAAATCAGAGGGAGAAGTGGAGAGGGAGGAATTTCCAACAGGAGGGGGGAGAGGAGAGAGGAGGTAACCTGGGCGTTGCAGGGTGAGGGAATGCGGTGATGGGGGAATTTCAATATCCGTGGGAGAGGAGAAATAGAACTCCCTTTTAAACAAAACAAAGCAACCCTGCTGTCTCTCTTTTTTTGTTCTTTTTAAGATTTCTTGCCCAGGGGTGTTCCTGCCTGGCAAGCAAGATGTGTACCTCGGGGTCTACCTCCTCAATCAGTACGTGGAGACAAACTGCTTTCCATCTGTGTTCCCTATTATGATTCAGCAGAGCATGAGATTTGAAAAGGTGATCTTGACTTTCTCATTGGGTTTTGCTGTCTGAAGATAATCTAATAAATCCTATAAAGAACACGGTTCTTACAACATTATTTTGTAAATTTCCTTTTAAAAAAATTACCCGAAAGCACTTAAGCTGAGTGCAAAAACCACAGTCGGCCTTGAAGCAAAACCACGGTTTAGAAGACTTGCTTTTGCATTGCAGGTCTGGGCCAATTTCTGTCAATCTAGTGCTAAATACCCTGGTCGATGTTTCCTATTCTTGGAACTCCCATGGCATTTTCTAACTGGAGCAGAGAGAGCATTTCTGAATGTTCTTGGAGGTGTTAGAGGCAGTTGCATTACATTTATGAAAGGTATTATTAATAAACTGTGGGCCTTAGAAAAAGCTGTTTTAAACCCAGAAAAATAGTGAAAAAACTATAACCAAAGTTGTTAAATCCTGTAACTGAAATCCTGCAACAAAATAAGTAACTCTTCAAAAACACTGAGTTTCCTCGGGTGGTACCTGGTTTATTTAGCTACAATTATAAAGACTAGATTCCATTCCGGTGAATACCATAGTAATATAAAGAGCCAAAACATCACCAACTCCCTTTCCACTAAAGTATTTAATAGAATATTAATTTCATTACTACACAATCACTAACAGTTTCTTAAAGTTTTTATATTGGAATTTGGAGATAGAATCAGTTTTAACCTTTCTAAGTCTAATGATTTTGACCCAAACAATGTCACTGAGGAGGATCCTCTGGGGAGAGGAAAGGCTTCAGGGTAGAGCATATCACTTTTAAAGGTCTGGAAGATGGTGCCCAGAAAGTGACCTATTTGTTTTGGTCTGAGGTTAGGTAAGGAGATGAAGATCGATTTTTTGAAGGGATAGGATTGCTTATAATAGTTTTATAAACCACAGCCTATTAATTTAAATAAAGAGTGTACCAAACTGGTTGGATAAAAGTGGAGAGAAATAAATGGCTCTTATCTTGGAACATAAAGTCAGAATTTAAATTTAAAACAATTTATATGTGTAAGTGGTGAAAAGCAGGTGGTAAAAATGCAGTCTCCCACCACCCCTAAATAATTGTATTAGTTTTAGCAATTGTGAATTTGCTCCTTAGAAACCTTTTAAACTCTTTTAATAAGAAGCTCAAGGATACAAAATCACAGAAGCATAGAAAGATAAATCTGTGAATGAATGTAGGGAATTATCTAGTCCAACCTCCTTGATTTATAAAAAAGAGAGTGAGCCTGAATCACCTCTGCTCTGTTAAAAAGCTGTACATTTGAGATTACTAGTCAAACATATCATGGAACCATTTTTTGCTTTATAAAATGCAATGAAATAATTTCTCTCTCTCTCTCTCTCTCTGTCTCTCTCGCTCTTGCTCTTGCTCTCGCTCTCATTCTTTCTTTCTTGTCAAGTCTCACTCTGTCATCCAGGGTGGAGTGCAGTGGCATGCTCACGGCTACCTCAACCTTGACTTGCTAGGCTCAGGCATTCCTTCTACCTTAGCCTTCCAAGTAGTTGGACCCACAGTCATGTGCCACTATGCCCGGCTAATTTTTTTTTTTTTTAATTGTAGAGACGAGGTCTTGTCATGTTACCCAGGTTGGTGTTGAATCCAGGGCTCGGGCAGTCTTCTCACCTCTACCTCCCAAAGTGCTGGGATTACAGGTGTTAACTGTGCCCAGTGCAATGAACCTCTTGCATGAGTTGTTTGGGTTCATATTCCAACTTTCCTTCAGTTGAGTCCAGCTTCCTTGTATCTATTCCCTTCTCTAGCAGCAAATACTTGCAAACAAGTAGTGAAAACATTTTCTCTTCCTTGGATTTTCTGTGTAATTCAGAATTTAATGCTCTAAAGCATTTGGATAAACAGATGACCCAAAAATGTATGAGGCATTGTATTAGAGCAATCCATGTTGATCATTACTCACTAAGATGACACTTGAGAAAATTCTTAGACATGGGCATATTAGTTTCCGAGGGTTGCTATACAAAAGTGCCACGGATGAAGTGGCTTAAACAAAAGCTTATTGTCTCAAGTTCTGGAGGCTAGACATCTGAAATCAAAAGTGTTAGCAAGGTTGTGTTTCCTCTGAAGGCACTGGGGAAGAATCTGTTCTAGTCCTCCCTCCTAGCTTCTGGTAGTTCCTTGGCTTGTGGCAGTATAACTTCAATTTTACCTGGTGTTCATTCTGTTTGTGTGTGTTGTTTAAAAATTTTTTTTGATGGGGAGGCCATTAGGCTGGGGCAACTCCAGTGCTTTAAGTTCCTATGTAAGCAAACTGCTATGTAAGCACACACAATGTAAACAGTTAAAAACAAAAAACCAGAGACTTTACCAATCAGATGCTGTTAGCTAACCTTTCACTAGAGTCTTTGCCAATAAGAAATTGCCAGTTAACTTCTAAATAATCTTTACCAATCATAAACCTCCAACTAACTCTAACTAGAGTCTTTACTAATAAGAAACTACCAGCTAGCCTCTAACGAGAGTCTTTTCCAATAAGAAACTACCAACTAACCTCTAACTAGAGTCTTTACCAGTCAGAAACTGCCAACTAACCTCTAATGAGGGTCTTTCCACTATTATCAATCAAATATGTTTTCTTTATCTTCACATTAGCCTGTGTAAACTTGCTTCCCACACAGCAGCAATGGAGGTTCTTGAACCTCTTTTGGCTCTGAGTGCTTCCCAGTTCATGAATCATTCTTTGCTCAGATAAACTGCTATATTTATTTTGCCTAGAGGTTTTTTTCCCCCAGTTCTTGTGCTCAAGTTTCCCTCTTTTGTAAGGTTATCAGTCATTTTGGATTAAGTACTCACCTTATTCCAGTATGACCTAATTCTGATTTAAGTAATCATATCAGCAGTGACTCTATTTGCAAATTAAGGCAACATTGTGAGATACTGGGATTAGGATTTCAACCTGTACATTTTGTGGGGGCACAACTCAACCTGTAACGATGGGTAAAGTGAAAGGATTATTGAAATAATTTAGACCAAAAAAACCTTACACTTGATAAATCCAGGTTAATATGACAAAATGGATTATAGGGAATAGCTTCCATTTGTGTTTTTAAAGCAGACCTGGCTTTGAACCCTAGAGCAGATTTTAACCGTGCTTGAGTTTAACCACACTTAAATCAGAATTTTAAAGCCTGAAATCAAACTGCTGAAAACATTTTGCTTCTCATAGGGTCCTAGAATTCACAGAGAGGGGCATGGTATACCTTTAATTTCATTTCTATCCCAGGCCCTTTTATCTATTGGACAAAACATGCAGATTTGGTAATAGCTAGACAGATATCACAAGTGATTGTACTTCATTATACACTTAACTTATGAGACTCCCTTTCATTTTTTTGGAGGGTGGAGTGATTCTGTGGGAGTATAGCTGCTAGTACTTAGCTTTTCTTTTGTGTTATACATAGAATTACTATTTAAGTTTCTTTTTAACAGAATCAATTGCTGAGATGAGAAGTCATTCATTCAGTTAACATATAACGAGTATCTGTTGTATACAGCGTATTTTTCTGCTGACTCAAATAAGACTCTTGAAAGATGTGCTTTTAGCAACAAACAGAGCAGCTAGGTCAGGTGGATGACATCTTTAGCATCTGGTAGATTTAACTAATTGGGATTTTTTTTTTTACTTTTGTTATTGTGTTAATCCTCATTTAGTCTATAATCATTTGTTGAACTTTATACACCTGTTAAAGGTACTTCTGTTAAATTCTAAAATATTATATGACTGGATTTCATATGTGTTAATTATTTGGAAGAATATGATCTATAGTTTCTATAAGTTTTTTTTTTGTTTTTTTTTTTTTTTGAGTCAAAAACTCACTCTGTTGCTCAGGCTGGAGTGCAGTGGCACACTCATGGCCACTGCAGCCTCGACTTGCTGGGCTCAGGTGATCCTTCTGCCTTAGCCTTCCAAGTAGCTAGAACTACAGGTGCGCACCACCATGTCCAGCTAATTTTTTGATTTATTGTAGAGACAAGGTCTCACCAAGTTGCCCAACCTGGTCTCAAACCTCTGGACTCAGGCAATTCTCTTGCCTTGGCCTCCCAAAGTGCTTGGATTATAGGCTTGAGCCACTGTGCCTGTCTACAAGTACTTTTAAATACAACTTTGAACATTTATTTTCCCCATTTTTCTCTGCAGGTATTTGAAAATGCAATCGATCCTGGAGCTGTAGCAGACCTTTTAGAAAGTAGGTACTCTTAAAAAAATTTGAAAGAATATTGTGTATAATTCACAGATATAAAATTTTGCTATTTTTTAATCTGTTAATTTCATGTTTGATAAATATTTATATTCAAGAGAGTCAATGTAAAATCTGAGTTATGTTTTTGATTCGACTAGAAACTCTTTGGTGGATAGTGTGATTCTGTTTGTTTGTTTGTAAAAATTAAGTGGTTTTTGTATATTGATGGAACTGTACAACCATCACCACCATCAATTAATAATTTAATCAGAAAAGTATTATCCCTGTGAAAAGAAGTCCTGTACCCATTAACAGTCATTTCGTTTCCCATCAGCCCTCCCAGCCATAGGCAATCACTGATCTTTCCGTCTCTATAGATTTGCTTATTTTGCATATTGCATATTAATAGGATTATATAATATGTGATCCTTTGTGACTGGATTTTTTCACTTAGTATAATGTTTTCAAGGTTCATCTATATTGTAGTATGTGACAAATAATGTTCCATTAGATGACTATACCATATTTTGTTTTTCCACTCATCAATTGATAAGATATTTGGGCTGTTTCTACTTTTAGGCTATGATGAATAATAATGCTACACTGAATATTCATGTACAAGTTTGTGTGTACATATGTGTGAACATATGTTTTAATTTCTTTGTGATTTTCAGTATCCAAGTCTTGCATTTCTTTTGTTAAATTTATTCCTAAGAATTCTTTTTGATGCTATCTTAAGTGGAATTTTTTTTTTTTTTTAAGTTAGGGATCTCATTCTGCTGCCCAGGCTGGAGTACAATGGCATGACCATGGCTCACTGCAGCCTTGACCTTTTGGGCTCAAGCGATCCCCCTGCCTCATCCTCCTGAGCGAGTAGGTAGGACTACAGGCACATGCCACCTTGCCTGGCTAATTTTTTTACTTTTTGTGGAGTTGGGATCTTGCTGTGTTGCCTAGGTTGGTCTTGAACTGCCTGGTCTCAAGCAATCTTCCCGCCTTGTCCTCCCAAAGTGCTGGGATTACAGGCATGAGACACTGTACCCTGCCTGGATGGTATAATTCTTAATCACATTCTTAGCTTTATAAATATTTCAACTGAGATTTTATGCAGTTGAAAGAATTAGTCCAAGTTCATAGCAGCATATAAAGAACTGACCAGAAGCAAGTACTAGGTGAACTGAAGCAGTACTGCGTAGAGGACAGAATTAGGAGCAGGCTAGGCATCAGGCTGACATACCAGGTGGATTAAGGAGTTTGAAATTAGGTAGAGAGTGAGTCAGTGCCTACAGAGTTAGTGCAATTTAGGATATCACTGAGCAGGTGTTTCTGGAACAGAAGGACAGAGCAATAAAGAAATGGCTCAGAAAGCCGGGTAGACAATAAGAAACTAGAAAATCTACAGTAATCAAAGGTTCAGGTAAGGCAGAAGAGGGAGAAACAGTGAGTGGGACTTTGAAGGATTTGACTGAATATTGGCATGCTCTTAACTCAGCCTCTAGAGAAAACCCTGGTTCCCGTTCATGTCATTTATTGAGACCGGAAACTCAGGAAGAGAAGTTGGTATGGGAGGAGCTTAACTCAGGACAGGCTGAGTTTGGGATGCTAGTGGGACATCCAAGTGGAGATGTCCAGTAGTGAGGAACATAAGATTCTTGGGGGAAAAATAGATGTGGTCTGTCAATAGAGATTGGAGAGTCTTCAGCATGTAGATTTTAAGTAAATCTCAAATAAATGAGGTAGTCCAGGGAGTGAGAACAGAAAAGACCAAGAGACAGCTTTGAGCAACACGAGGAGCTAGACTGAGGAAGAGGAGTCTGAGAAGGGACAACCTCAAGATGTAGCCACCATAAACTATTTTCTAAATTGTCAGTGTCAAATGTATTTTTTTGAGCACTAACTCTGTTTGTCTTTGGAATACATCAAGGCAACTGTGTATTTTTAAAATGCTGCCTTTGGCATTTGGCCTTTTATTTTTATTTTTATTTTTTTGAGTTGGAGTCTCACTCGGTCACCCAGACTGGAGTGCAGTGGCCACTCCCGGCCACCGCAGCCTCGTCTGCTGGGCCCCTGCGATCCTTCCGCCTCAGCCTTCCGAGTAGCTGGAATTACAGGCATGTGCTACCACGCCCGGCTGATTTTTTTTTTTTTTTTTTTTTATTGTAGAGATGAGGTCTCACTGCCCAGGCTGGTCTCGAGCCTGCGGGCTCAAGCAATCCACTCACCTCAGCCTCCCAAAGGCGCGGGGCATTTGGCCTTTTAAAAAGTGGATGTAATACCTAAGTTTATCTACTGTGTTTACATTTCCATTTGAATTTTAAGAAGCAGGAAAGTGAAACATCTCTCTGAGATGGGTCACATCTGTAAGAACACTGATTGCCTTAAGTCTCTTTAAATTCAGAAAAACAATTCAGCATTTCAAATGATCATATAAGATTTACAATCTTTTCATTTCAATTCCCAAATATCAATTCTGGGTGGTAGACAACCATAAAAGAACATGAGAACAGTTCTCTAGGTCACTCAGTAATTTGCTCTGTCCTTGATATTTAAAGCAAGTATGAAGTATGTGATGCCATTCTAGCAGGCAATTAAAAGCTGTAGGTATTTTATTAAGCATCCTAATTAACTTGTTCAGTGGAAGAATGGGATTTTTCAATGAAGTGTCCTGTGGATAAGAGCACAGGCCCTGGGAGCAGACTACTTGGGTTCAAATATAGCCCCGTCACTGTTAGCCAGTGTGACCTTGCCCACGTTACTATACTTTCCTCTTTGAGATTTAGTTTCCGCATTTTAAAAAAATGGGGATAGGTATGGCACTAGACTCATAGGTGATGAGAGTAAACCGAATGTAAGAAAGTTAGCGCTTAAACAAATTGCTTACTAATGGCTTTGGGGTGATGGTTGGCAAATATGTATTTCCCTTCACATTTTGAAAACCTAAAATTTCAGGCTGTTTTGACTTTTAAGTTTCTTAGCAGTTAAAGTTTTGACTTATGCATTTATATATTTTTCACAAACCTACAAAGAGAATTTTACCTTTATTGTCTATTTTTTAAAAATGTTTTCATTTTAATATTATTTTATGGGAGTTATCTTTATTTATTTTTTATTGTGATATCATTTATTTTGGGTTATCTTTAAGATTTGAATTTTATTCTTGTCCTTATAGATATTGTACGTGGGTTCACAATTCTAAATATATTTTGAACTCAATAAATATAAAAAGTTATATTTTATGTCTAATTTGTATAGTCATATCACACACTGGTTTTGTTTTCTTTTGCTTTGTTTGAGACAAGGTCTCACTCTATCACTCAGGCTGGAGTGCAGTGGCGTGATTATGGCTCATGTAGCCTTGACCTCCTAGACTGAAGTGATCCTCTCACCTCAGCCTTCCAAGTAGCTGGAACTACAGGCACGTGCCACCACACCTAGCTAATTTTTTTTAACTTTATGACAATGCACTTTTAATCTTAAAAATTCAAGATCCAATTGTTATTCATTAATATACAAAAGTTTCTCTTGCTTAAAACAGTGTGCTGCTGGGCGGGGTGGCTCGCTTCTGTAATCCCAGCACTTTGGGATGTCATGGCAGGAGGATCACTTGAGCCCAGGAGTTCGAGTGCAGCCTGGGCAACATAGTGAGACCCTATTTCTTAAAAAAAAGATAGAAAGAAAGAAAGAAGGAAATACTGTGTTAATTTTCTGAAATATTAAAATCCCATTTTTTTTCCTTTTTAGGCTTCCTAACCAGGTTTGAATTAATACAGCTAGTGTCTCCAGGTAATGTGCCCCTAAATTCATTTCTAACTTAGCTTATTATAATTTAAAAAGAATTTTGGCATGACAAAATGGAGGCTAATATTTAAGAGTTTTGCTTTTAAATAACATATAAATTTATAAGTTTGCATAACATACACTTCGTTTTCTGCCAATCTATTGAATTTTGTCTACTTTCAGAAGAGTAACTTTATAGGATTTGATGACAGTGGGCATAACTTAAACAGGCTCTTTGTCTTTGCATCTTTAAATCACTTTATCTAATTTTCATCAAATAAGTTTTTCAGTCCTGGTTCAGTTTGTTTCAAGATTTGACCTTTGGTGAGACAGGGTTTCACTTTATTGCTCAGGCTGAAGTACGGTGGCACAATCATGGCTCACTGCAGTCTTGAACTTCTAGTCACAAGCAATTCTCCTGCCTCAGCCTCCTGAGTAGCAGGGACTATAGGCACACACCACCACACCTAGCTAATTTGTCTCTTTTTGTAGAGACAAGTCTCACTTTGTTGTCCTGATTGGTCTCCAACTCCTTGGCTCCAGGGATCCTCCCACCTTAGCCTCCCAAACTGCTGGGATTACATCTATGACCCACTGCACCCAGTCTGGCTATATTCTAATTTGTGTTGTGTGTTTGTGTGTCTGTGTGTGTGTGTATGTGCATGCGTGCTGTGTGTAAAACCCGATTATAGACATTAACTACTGTGCCAGGCCTGGCCTGGGTATATTCTAATTTGTACAGGGTGTGTGTGTGTGTGTGTGTGTGTGTGTGTGTGTGTGTGTGTGTAAAACCTGAAGCCATTTTCTTACTATAGCCCCTAGCTAAACCCAGCTTATAGTTTGTTTTGTATAGCCTGGGAGCTAAGAATGGCTCCTATATTTTTTGTTGCAATATAATTAATATACTATAAAATTCATCATTTTCAAAAGTACAATTCAGTTGTTTTTAATATGTTCACAAGGTTGTGCAACCATTACCATTTTCTAATTCCAGAACATTTGTATTACTCCCAAAAGAAACCCTGTACTCATTAGCAGTCACTCCCAATTTTCTCCTTTCCCCAGGCCCTGGTCACCACGAATCTGCTTTCTGTCTCTATTGATGTGCTTATTCTAAACATTACATATAAATGGAAGCCTACAATATGTGGCCTTTTATATTTGGCTTTTTTCACTTAGCTTAATGTTTTCAAGGTTCAGATCTTAATTCCTTTTTATGCCTCAATAAT